GGATCCTTCTTGTCAGGATAGTAGAATTTGGTCGGTTCCCCCTTTTGGCTCCTTTACTTTTGCTTCTTTTTTCTTCGCCCTCCTTCATTGCTCGGACCCAGTAGGTTCTTTTCCTACATAGGAAGTTTGGTGTAATCCTGTACCCCCCAAAATAAGAGCCTTTTGCTAAGAGGTGGTGCTCCAAAAAATCATTACTTTGGACAATTTACAAAAAAAAGGAGGCCGAATCATTGCCTCTCTCCTCATGCTTGTTGCCTTTGCTTGGGAAATGGTGAGACAATTACACCTTTTACTATCTTGTCCCTTTGCTTCTTTTGTGTGGAATTGGTTTTCTTCCTTATTTGGTTGTAGGTGGACCCCTCCCTTGGATGTGGCAAGCCTCTTTAACCCAAGCTTCTTCTTACTATCAAAGAAAAGGGGTAAAATGATGTGGAGGGCATAGTTTTCAAGGCGCCAAGGCGAGGCTAGGCGACTGGGGGGCACCTAGTCGCCTAGGCGGGCGCCTAGGTGATGGATTTTTTACATTAAAAACATAGATCCTAGGGTAGTTCCCTAGGTACCATAACCATATTTTTTTTATAATTATTCATGATTTTCATAAGAAAAGTATATATTTCATATTAAAGTATAGAAAATTGACATATTCATGAGAAGAAAAGGAAGAAGGAAAATAAAATTCAAAAAATATAGGGGCTGAACCCTTATTTTTGTTATAGGAAAAGAAGAAAATAAAAAGTATTGTAGTAGTAGTAGTAGTAGCAGTAGAAGAAGAAGAAGAAGAATATATGGAAGATGAAAATATGTTGATTAGATAAAATTTTTAGTTCTCCCTTATTGGTTCAGGTTTTTAAGTCTTTGAGGGTTCAATACAGCATTTAGCAATGTTTGTGTTGATTAAACTCTAATAAATAAGAAAATAATAAAAAGAAGTTAGTATATAAACACACAAAATGATTATTTTAGTTTAATAATGTCTATTTTTTAATTATAATCTAAAAAAAGAATGAATAAAGAAGTTTTTTATAGTAGGAAGTAGAGAACTGTTAGGCGATTAGGCGAGGCGAGCCTCAAAGGGCGCCTTGTCACCTAGGCGTCGCCTTGACAACTATGGTGGAGGGCAACAAAAGCAATCACTCTTTGGTCTTTATGGGAGGAAAGAAATAACAGAATTTTCCAAGGGGTACAAAAATCAACAGAACAAATCATTGACTGTGTAGCCATCAAAGTTATACACTGGTTGAAAGTTAGTGACTTATTCAAGGACTTTTCAGTGGATGATATACTCAGGGGGTGGTCAGCTGTAGCAAATTCCTCAACCAGACAGCTTGTATTTCAGCCTTGTTGGACACCTGGAGCACAACAAAGGATAAAATTAAACTTTGATGGAAGCTCTTTGGGTAATCCAGGACCCTCTGGAGCTAGGGGAGTTTTCAGGGATGGAGAGGGCAGAATGGTGGCACTATATTCTGGTCCCATAGGAGTGGGAGACTCTCTGAGAGCTGAAATTTTGGCTCTCCTACAAGGCCTGAGATTTGCCAAGCAATGGGGATTTCAGAACTTTGAAGCGGAAGGGGATTCTAAATTGTTAATAGGGTGGCTGCAGACAAAAAGTTTGGGTGTATGGACTTTTAGACAACAAATAAGGGAAATAATCTGCTTGGCAAGGGATGCCGGGGTATTATTCAAATGGGTAAGGAGGTCAACCAACTCTGTGGCAGATAGTAAGTAGGGGACCTTCAGGGAAATTTTCTTTTGGGCTGTATTGTAATTCTTGAAGCTGATTGGTGTCAACACTCAGATTTTGAGTGGTTGACAGTGTACGATGTTTAACTGATATTTTTAATGAAAGTTACTGTTTCCAATAAAAAAAGGCTTAGATGATGATGATGATGATATCAATAATAATAATAACAACAATAACAATAACAATAAGGAAATCAAATACAAAGGAAAACCCTGTACAATGAAATTCTGTACCAGGGAGGAAGCAGACCCAATACACCCCACCTGAAACACAAAACAACTATATATTTCTTACAAAAAGAGAATATTGATCAAAAAATGAACTTGTGTGTCTATCTCTAAATAGAGAGTGATTTGCCAACCATGAAAACAACATTCCCAAAATCTTATTGAACACTTCTTTTGTTCTCTGCACCCTTCAAAATTTCTGCTATTTCTTTCACACCATGTTGCCCAGAAAACTGCTGAGGCATTGCTCCAAGCTACTTTTCCAGCTTTGCTTAGCCCCCTTACATGCCAAGTTCTAAGAATTCTTTCACACTAGCCGGGAAACACAACTTCACTCCAAAATGCTGCAGTAGTCTCAGTGTTTTAAAAGTGCGAGGCGCAGGAGTCAATTTGTGCCTGAGGTGCAAGGCGGAAGGTGAAGCGTGCACCTTTTTAAGCAAGGTGCAAAAAATAAAAAAAAGCTAAATAATAAAAATGTCAAAAAATAAAAAAAAGGCAAAAAATTCAAAAAAAAATATATAAACTTAAATTTTAAAATAAATGTTTTAGAAAACCTATTATCTAAAATTAAAATACATAAATGTAACATTTTAAGCATATTCAAATGAGAATTTAAAAATAAAATCAAATATATAAAACATTTTCAAGCATATAAAACCCATAATCTCTTTTTTTTCTAAATTGCATTACTTGAAGTAGCTAATGTGATGTAAAACATATTACATTCCTGATTCTACGAGCTGCCTTTGCACCATGCCCCTTGAGGCAAGCCCAAACAAGTCCACGTTAGGTCTTAAATTCTTAGTTCTCACACAAAAATAATGGTTTTATAGTTTTAATTGATTTTTAAGAAGATATATTAGGATGAATGAATGAACAACACTACCAAATAGGGGGTTCTCAAAAGGCGCATGCCTGAGCTGAGGCGCAAGGCACACCAGGCGTGCGCCTAGGACCTGGGTAAGGCGCCTACCCTAAAATGTGCCTCGCTTGTGCGAGGTGTGCCTTTTTAAATCACTGAGTAGTCTTACCCAAATCCAGTAGACGAGATCACAATGGAGCAACAGATGTTCATGCTTATTTCTTTTTATTTTCTTTTTTGTTAGGGTTCAATCAGCACACATGTTGGTGTGTGCTGTCTTGAACCCTCAAAGATTTCAATACCTTAACCAAAAAGCAAGGAAGAATTTGAAATTCTGTCTAATTAAACAAGGAGATGTGGCAATAACAGAATTTTTGGCAGCTGTTTTTGGAGTTCAGAAAGCCAAAGAGTTGGGCTTTGAAAGGTTAGTTATTTAAGGTGACTCCAAAATAGTTGTGGACTGGCTAAAGGGGGAAGGAGTATCTTGGCACCTAAGGAATGATCTTAGGCAGTTCAAATGGCTCTCTAGGGACATGTTTATTCAAGTTAACTGGGTTAGAACATCTGCCAATAATTTGGCAGATGGTCTAGCTAAGCAAGGGGTACAGAGACAAACTATGTTTTGGCTTTTGGGCTCAGTTGTATTTAGACACCTAGTGTCTACTTGTATCTTTCACAACTTCTTGTTCTGCTTTCTTATAATTTTAATAAAATCATTTCTGAGTTACTGATAAAAAAACGTAAAATCCTGTCCAATCAACACTTAATCATCATCATCATCATATTCTTTTCTTTCCACCCATTTGCCAGCCCCTATATTTTCTAAATTTTCTTTTCTTTCTTTTTTCTTCTCATAAATATGTTGATTTTCTATGTTTTAATATTAAGCTTATACCTTTTTATGAAGGTTATAGATAGCTATCAATGAAAGATGGTTTCTGGTTGCTTGGAACCTAGGGAGTTACTCTTGGATTCATGGTTTCTATGTAAAAAAATTCCATCACCAGGCAACTAGGCAACAAGGTGCCCCCCTATTGGCTTATACCTTTTTATGAAGGTTATAGATAGCTATCAATGAAAGATGGTTGCTGGTTGCTTGGAACCTAGGGAGTTACTCTTGGATTCATGGTTTTTATGTAAAAAAATTCCATCACTAGGCAACTAGGCAACAAGGTGCCCCCCTATTGGCTATTGCCTATCTTTGCGTTGGCACTTTGAATATGATGAGGTTTATACTTATTTCATGAGGATTATGGTAATTACTAGTCAAAGATTACTGCTGCTACTATAGAACCTAGGGAATTACCTTAGGGTTATAATTTTTTATTATGAGAAAAAACCCATTGCCTAGGTAACTAAGTGGCAAGGCACCCCTTCCCCCATTGCATAGGTTCACCTTGGTGCCTTGAAAACTATGGAGATCACCTAGAAATCACTTAAACCTTAAGAGAAGTGGCATTTTTTTGGATAACCATAAAATTACCATTCAAAGGAAAAATAGGACAAGAGAGTTCACAGAAAAGGAGGATAACCAACCTAACTTCTCTTAAAAGAAGTTTATGCCCAAGACGCCATCTCATGGGCTAAACTATTCCTAGATTAAGGAATATAATTAAAACCATCCACTGTTAATTGCCTCTATTTGAAAATAACTAATTAGTAAATCCATAATACAATGCCCCAGAGATCCTATTCACTATTGTAGCCTGTTCAATTAAGTTCTTCGCAATCATTTTCATTATACTTGTTATTTCAAATTTTCAATATTTATCTTTAATATCACTAAAGCATATAATGTATAACTTGTAACCAAATCTTCTAACATTATTGTTCCAAACTCGGACATTGTTTTCCGGTGTTTTCTGGCTGATGCTTTATTTTAATTATAAATTAGTTGCATAGTTGCATTAGCTAGCATTTCATGATATTTCGTGTTTAGTAGTATCAATACTACAACTTCTTACGCAACTATATTTTATTGTTTTTGTAATATATGATTTGACCTTACCTGATGGTAAACATACCAACCCCAAAGCATACCAATCCCACAAAGTACCAAGCATTCTTTACCTTGTGACATTTATCCTTGTCACAGTTGAAAAACAAGGTATTTGCAGCTTTGATCTAGGAGGTATGTATTAACTTCTGGTTAAGTTACATGCTGCAGATTCCACACACAAGTCGAGGAAGTTTTGGAACTGCTGGGCATGCTCAGACCACAACTGCCACACCGATGGGTGTTACAGCCAGTCCATCACGTTTTGCTCCTACTGGACACCCAGGTCATCCTGCAAATCTACCCCCAGTATCTGTGTATGGAACCCACTATAGTGCCTCTTCTCCTTCCCCTGCAGCATCAGGGGGCACATCAGTCTTTAGAGATTCTCGTTTGACAAGTCCTTCATGGAGTTAGAGATGACTCTGCTCATCAGCCACACTCCATGGTGACATTACTGACTTCAAACACCATGGTATCAGTGATAGGGTGTTGTGGAGAAAGAGCTCAGCAGAATCCAGATGGAGAAATGGTAGTCTTCGATAAAAAAAAGGTAGTCTTGTGGAACATAATGTTCTTTTTCATTGTAATCATCTTTTTTACAGTTCTAAGATCTTTGTAACATACACTTCTTTGTCTTCCTTTGATCTTTTACCTCTTCTTAGCTTTGCATTTTTGTACAGAAACCTCTCTATGTTGATGTCTGTAAATGACTAATTACCTGGTGTTGATTTAATTTTATGGAAATTTCCACTGACTTTCACACTTTTGGCATAATTTTAATGAATAGACATGTACTTACAAAAATAAGACCCCCTTGGTGGTATTGTGGCATTTTCAAAGGATGTGTTAAGTAGGCTACTTTAAATTTGAAGTCAGAGTTCAATGCTTTCTTTTATGTAAAAATAAGATCTTTTGACAATCCAGGAGCCTTGCATACGAAATCTGTTTCACTCTCTTGTACCATATAGGCAATCTTGGTTCAGCAAGAATTAAAAAGAAATGCAAAATGCACAAAAATAGAACTTGTGGAATATTACACACTATAGTCCTGGCGCATCTGATTCAGCACAGCAGCAAGGCAGCTCATAAGCACCTATACAGATCCTCACTTAGGGTGTCAGTGAATTGAATTGGAATCAAAATCTTTTGGAATCACAATCAGAATGGTCTATTCCCATAGTCTGTTTGGTTCATACAGGTTGGAATAGGATTTCATTGCCCAGGGAAGGGAGGGAATGACCATTCTCCTAAATGGGGGCCGTTCCACCAGGAAAGAAAATGGGATTCTGATTCCGTCCAACCAAACAGTAGGAATAGAAATGGCCCATTCTAATTTTGATTCTAGATCCCTATTCCCTTAAACCAAATGGGTCCTTAAATTAGTTAGTATGAACCATGAAGTTTAATATAACGATCTTAACCATTCAATACTACGTAATACATAGGGGGTTAGGATCATCTAAGCAACTTGACTCTCAGAGAGGAAGATCTCCGACATCATACCCATTGATACGTATCTTTCCACCTCCTTTTTGCTAAATGTCGTAATTTCTTCTTGTCCTTCCAGTTCCAGCACAATGCACAACGCCAGAAGCTTTTCTGTCCTGGCATTAGTTCAGTTCAAATCATGAACAAAGTGATTAGATAAGTATACGTACAGAGATATTAAAGCTCTTTACAAAGACGGAAAAGTTGAAGAAATAAGGTGCTTGAAATAATCTTCTTGACAGGAATCCCCACGATGGGTAGTAGAAATATAAAAAACGAATAAGATTTTATATGGTTTGTTTATGGGTGTACATAAAGATCACAAATTAGTGACATATGGTCCAGAAAAATGCTCATCCAAGGAGATGGGACGTATTCAGATACTTGCTGCCAAAGAGATCTCCCCTGCAAAAGTTTACATGCTCAAATGATTATAACCATCGGCACCACTGAATACTTTAGGGAAGATAGCAGAGCAAAGGATAGCAGTGGTTACAGTTATTTGAACCGACGTCTGCATAGTGTTGTGACACATCATCAAATTTTAGCTTCTAATTGAAATTTTGTTCAAGGATGAATAACCCAATATGATCTTGAATGTTTCAACAGTCAATCAAATAACTAATATCATCCCTCTCAGGCTCTGACCTCTGCATTCATATTCATCAGAGCATCCTGAATCTTCCGTAAAATTATCTTCATGTCCTGCATTTAGAAATGCATGTCTGAAATACATAATTTTCAACAGAACTTTATTATATGATTAAATTAAAATCGAAAATAAAGGCTAAAGCTCCAATCTTAAAACCAAGTCATTTTCTCTGCAAGCAAATTCTCTATAATCACATCCTGTATTTACAGTCTGAGCTAACTTCTCTGCAAGCAATTTAATGAGGATCCAAGCAAATCAATAAATCCTTTCTCTACGGATGAAACCTTGTCAAAGTTATTATTCAATTCAACCACTAGAAAAGTGGGGAAAGTTGGGTATGAAATTATTGTACCAGAAAAGAAATACGAAAAAGAGATGCAACAGTCAGAAAGGTCAATTCCACTGAAGTTTGGCTAAAGCATACATGTGTAAACAGATCGGATTTTGTCCTCGCAACACTTGCATCCGTGCATTGGGAACATCTCCATACTTGTATATTTTTATTCATGGAAAGTTCCCAATGCACGGCTGAAAGGGTTGTGAGGACAAAATCTGAATTCATATTAACAATAAGGGGGTGTCCTTTTTCTGGATTTTGAGAAGAGAGAAAGTTGGTCAATGGAAATTGTAGAGAACATTGATGTGGGTCCCACAGCTGTGGTCCAACTCTGTCCGTAGGGTAGAATGTATTTAGTCACAGCTGTGGTCATTTTACTATTCTGTTATTCCTAGTTTCAGTTTTATATTGTTTGTTATTTGTTAGCAGTTATGATGCAAACACCAAGGGCAGATATGTCCTTTCATGTAACTAGCATAACATATATATATATATATATATATTAACTTAAAGTGGTGGCGGCAGAATATTGACATTCTGTTCTTCTCCTCAAAATTTGTGTTCTAYTGATCTTTCACCACTCTTTTTTCTACTTCTTCACTTTCTCTTCTCATTGAACCTGAAATCTCTTAGTGTTCAAGACTAAATAGCAGTCTTGAAAACCTACATGGTATCAGAGCCAAGTTAGGGTTTTTCATGTGAGTCTAATACCAGCCGACCACATGAGAATCTCCTAGGACTGAAAGCTGAAAATGAGGAGTTTGCAGATTGATTCTTGGAGATCGCCAAAGGT